TGCTACAGTACTTTTGAACATCTAGAATGGTGCGCGGACAGACTTTGTATTGCAAGATGGGTTTCTTTTTCGTGGTCTCCAACTTTGTATTCCTGAGTGCAGTTTGCGCTTTAAGATCATCCTGGAATTACACAATGAAGGTCATGTTGGTCGTGATCGTACACTTCATCTTGTGTCCAGCTCTTACTTTTGGCCGAGTATGCGTAAGGAAGTGGGCAGATTCATGGATCATTGCCGTATTTGTCAGTTGTCAAAGGGTGGCTCCGCTAATGCTGGGTTATACATGACTCTGCCTATTCCTAGTCAGCCATGGATGAACATTAGCATGGATTTTGTGCTTGGCCTGCCGCGTACACAGCGTAGTAGTGATTCTATCTTCGTGGTCATTGATCGGTTTTCTAAGATGGCCCACTTTATACCATGTAAACGTACTACAGATGCTGTTCATGTTGCTCAACTATACTTTCGGGAGGTTTATCGCTTACATGGGTTGCCTACCTCTATTGTGTCTGATCGGGATACTCGGTTTCTCAGTCACTTCTGGCGCAGTTTATGGCAGTTGGTTAACACTACCTTCAATTTCAGTAGTGCTTACCATCCTCAGACGGATGGCTAAACCGAAGTCGTCAACCGCCCCCTTGGCAATTTATTGCGCAGTCTGGTGGGAGAGAATGTGAAGTCACGGGACACTAAGTTGTGCCAAGCTGAGTTTGCGCATAACCATGCGGCCAACCGCAGTACTGGGTTTAGTCCTTTTCAGGTGGTCTATGGTTTGGTTCCCCGGGGGCCTCTTGACTTACTTACGCTCCCGAGCAAGGTACGCCCATATGCCACGGCAGAAGAGTTTATTACTCAATTACAACAAGTCCACCAAGCGACTCAAAATAACCTGGTTGCTGCTACTACTAAACAAGTCCCAGGCAGACAAGAAGCGCAGATAAGTTGACTTCACTATTAGAGATTATGTTTGGACAATCTTAACCACGGATCGTTTTCCTGCCCACGAATACAGTAAGCTTGCTGCCAGGAAGATAGGCCCCATGGAGGTCGTTGAAAAGATCAATCAGAATGCTTACAGTTTGCAACTTCCTAGCCATATTCACACTTCCGATGTTTTTAATGTCAAGCACCTCATTCTTTATTCCGGGGATAATTCTTCTGACGAGGAGACATCTTTTGATTCGAGGATGAATCTCCTCCACCCTGGGGAGGATGATGCAATGCAGCGGGAGTGGAACTTCATGGCCCAGTTGGAACACCCAAAGCCCCAAACACGTTTTTGACAAAAATACACTTTCGGAAGTCAAAATGGCACTTTTTCCGTTTTTAGGATTTATTTTTGTAATTTCAATAATGTAAGGACCTTTGGCAATTTTCGTTATGTTTTGCATGAAGGGTTTCATTTATATGGTTTTGTTGAACCCTTAGGGGGATGGCTGGAAGAATAAAAATAAAAACCTCAGATTGAGAGTTTCTCAATTTCCGGATTCAATTTCTCGGTATTCTTGTGAATCAACAAGTTTTGAATTGTAATTTTCATTTCTCCTACGTACGCTGCATCACTATATATATATACATACACACATATAGCTTAGCGTATATAAAAAATTATAGAGTATGACATACGCTGAAAATGTCGACTTGATTTATTAGTATTTCTTTGTGTTATTGTTGTTTAATGAGTTTATTTACCGTAGATATTTTATTGATATGTATTGATAATAAAATACAATATAATAGATTAATTCATAATAAAAAAAGTTGAGATTCAATGCAATAGCCTGCTCTATCCAAATGTATGGATATGAACAATATTAGCTTCTGAAATGAATATTGGCAGAGGGAATTGAATCATTTAACTACAATTATATAGCAGAACCATAATTGTAATGACCGGAAAAAATTTAGGTCTAATCTGGACAGTTCAGTATTTGACTGAAATTCTTTTTAGAATAGTAAATAGTAGAATTTTGATGTAATCAAGAAAATGTTATTTAAAAACTTTATGTACAGGGTAAAATCTCCCGAAAAGTGTAAAGTTATAATACGAATATTTTTACAAAAAAATTTTGTAAATATCAGTTATGAATAGTGAAATATCAGTTAAAAGTTAGAAATTTTAGCGGGTATATTTTAGTTATGAAAAACTAAAATGTTTGGTTTGTGACCAAATGATCAGCTAGAAAAAGAGTAGAAAAATTAAAAGTAAGGAAAATAGCAAAAGTTCCTGAAACGGAATTTTCCTGAGTCAGTTAAAGCGGGAAACTGCAAAAAAAAAAGAGTACCGCAAGGGTACGCGTTTTGGGCAATTCTGAATTAATTAAGATGATAATTTCAGAAAAGGGAATTGACTAATGAGATACCCAAGAGAAATGTGTTGAATATGAGAAATTTGACTCAGGGTGCTCGGCAGTCCAGAAATGCAGTATAGAACTTGTACCGGGTGTGAAATTATCGGTACCGGAAATAAATTCGTTTTGAAAAACGGAAAGTTAGGTCTCGACAAGAAAAATGTGAGGAACATAGAACCACTCAAATTAAGGGTTAAACTTAAGTAGAACTAGTAAAATTAAATTATGTAAATTAAATTAATTTCTTTAATTTAATTTAGAAAGTAATATTAGATATTATTAGAAATAATATTATAATATTCATTAATGTCTTTGAAAGAGTCCCACGGAGACATTAGAAGCTACTTTTGTCTTCTTTGCCTAAGTGTGGTTGACCAAAAGTCTTAAAAGAGTCCTACGTGAGGTGAATATGAGTTTGTAAAAAGAAAAAAGAAAGTGAAATGTATTACGGAAGGACAACTTGGGGTACATATTAAAGGAATTAAGCATGAGGTGGCTACTTAACTTTTAGATGTAAACATATAGTGCCAAGACATGCTTAATAGGTATGGTGAGTCAATTACTAGCCTTGATGAGTCACGTGCCTTCTTGGCAATAAGAAACTAAAATAATGAAAACTTTCTCAAGCTTATGCACATGTAAGAGAGAAACTATGTGGGCATTGAATAGTATGTCCTACAACAAGAAAAGAAAAACGTGAGAGAGTGAATAAAAAGAAAACATATTAGAGAGAGAGAGACGGAGACAGGGAAATCAAGGAAGATCAAGTATTTTTACCAAAATTTCTTTCATTCAGTCTGGTAGAAACATAACCTGAGGCGTTCTAGCGGAAAATCTCAACTTCTAGAGGTAAGATTTCGGATTTAAAAATGTGAATTCTATGATTTTTTGAGTTAGATGAATAGTAACCCATCTCAGAAAAACTTCTGTTAAAGTGAAAATTGAAACTGAGGTTTTGTAGAGTATCGTAATAAGAGTTTAACGGTGTAAGTGTTAAGACGATTGAATAAAGTTTTGGTAGATTTCTATCGAAAATCCGTGAGCCTAGATTAAGAAAGAACATATGTTTTGTTCAATTTTATGTTGGAATCTGCGTTCAGGAATGTAAATCTTGACTCCAGGTACCGAAATCAGAAGTAGAACGAGTTATTAAAAACTCGGGAAACGAGAAAAATAAGGCGAAACTCTGCCAAAATTTAGTTTGAGTAATTTGAACTAAAACTGGATTTCAAGAAAAATATGGGATTAAAGTGTGAAAAGAAAGATGTTTCGATAATCGGTGATGGTTAGAAACCGAACACAACGAGAATTCACAGTTTTGGACCGAAATTGAA